AATAAATTTTTGTTTCTTGCTTCTATGAAACCTCAGTTGAATATTTTGCAAAGTCTTGACAAAGCTGAGCTACCAAATGAGAGAAAATCAAATACTATGATGAGCAGAGAACAATTTAAACAAAACCTATAACTGTCGATAATATTCTTGTAGAGTGAAAAGATTATATCCATGTAGTATGAATAGGCTGCTGCAAAGTCGGAGCGTCTGAAGAAACAAGAGGGAGGGAGGTCTGGCTGAAGGAGGGGGGAGGGGATAAGAGGGGAAAGCAGGGGAGGGGAGGGTTGGTTAATTCCTGGAAATAAACTTATTTAAATCAGGAGATGTGTTGGAAGAAATTCATATCTGAAAACTGATAAAGAGAAGGTAAGAAAGTGAAAGAGTTAGTTCAAGAGTTACAACCCCAGAAAAACAGTAAAAAAGAACAGTGAAGTGGGATAGGGTTTAAGTTGTAGCGAGAAGTTGTAATAATACAAGAAACTCTTTCAGAAGTTTCCAGGAAGAAAAGGCCCTTGGTGACTGCCCAGAGAAAGGAATGACAAAGAACCCGTTCCAAGATGAGTCAGTGTGAAAACTGACCACTAGTATGTTCTAAATTTAAAAGCACCTAGACAGGATATAAACAAAGCAAGATGGCCCTGCAAAAATTTGGCAAACTAGTATCAGACTATGCTGCAGCATTTTTGCTTAGATGGCAGTGGTATAATACCATCAGAATTACGGGAACAATTATTTAACGACTAATATTCTACAGCCAACTATCAATCAAATGCAAGAGTAGAATAATAGCATTTTCATATCAAAGCCTCACAACATGCACCTCCCACACACCTCTTCCCGGAAAGCTACCCACGAAGTTCACTGCAAAAGCAGGAAGCACGGACAGGAAAGCTGACAGGGGACCAGCAGAGAAGGGATCTAGCTCATGGAGGAGTCAGGAAGGGACTTCCAGGATGAGGGTAAAGGGCTCACAGCCTCACTGCACATCTGCAGAGCAGTCAGTCTGGACCAAGCAGTGGGACAGAAGGCCCCAGGAGGGGTGTTTTCGTAGGAAAAAGAAAAAAGCTACTTGCCCTGTTCGAACACACCGAGAGAGCACTTGCAGTTCTGTGAGAGACCCTGGGGCAGGAAGCAGTGACAGAAGAAACTAATGGCTACAAACGCGAAGTCATGCCACAGAAACACACAAAGTTAAGCCAGAACGGAAATATAATTCTAGGATGTTATTCGGGGCAGTTTTGAACAGTTGTTACATGGTTATTACAATCCAGGGGTGTCCAACCTGCGGCCCCCAGCCCCAGGATGGCTGTGAATGGGGCCCAATATAAAGGCGTAAATTTACTTAAAACATTATGAGATTTTTTTTGTGATTACGTGTCACAATGTATTTAATGTGTGGCCCAGAGACGCCCAAAGGTTGGGCATCCCTGAGAAACAATGAATACTGATTTAACCCCACATGCTGATATAACCACAGCCGATGAAAACCAGAGAAGGGGAAATGAGGGATTATGTGGTACTAGATGGGGAGGGGAGGAGTTATGAGAAAGCTAAATATTCACTTACCATAAGAGAAAATATAACATCTAAAAATGAAAAATCAGGAAGTAAAAACATAAGCACGGTGTTCAGAAACAGAGGAGTAAACTCTGAGTTGAGTAACGATTTCCGGGAAAGAGAAATTAGAAATGGGAAGGTGTGGAGCAGGAAACTGCTGTTTTTCAGTCCGTTTCACATACCATTTCACTTTTTGAAACTGTGTACATATGTTATATCAATGTTTCTCTAATTTAGAGAAAAAGATATATTTACACGGTACCTCATGTAAAATTACCGAGACATCTTGGCTTAAACCTAATCACCTGTCTTGCTGCACTTGATATTAAAAATAAATAAATAAAGGGCCAGGCTCCTCATACCTTTGATCTCATTTTCACATTTGAAAAAATCCCCTTAAGAAGGTATTACTAGTGGCGGCCGCCACTGCCTCCCTGGCTGCAGCTCCTGGTGTGCCCTGCACGCACTGCTGCCCGCCTGCTCCTGCTCCTCCTCCTCCCAGGGCCACCAAGTCAGAGCCCAAGCTGCAGCCCAAGCTGGAGCCCCAGCCCACCCCGAAACCACAGCTGGGACACCGTGGCTTCTGGAATTTCAGGGAATGACGCAGTCATCCAAGTTTTTCATGATGCGAAAGGAGGAAATCTTCTACACAAGAGGAAATCAAAAACAGAAAGCAAGCAGTTCTCTTCTGTTTAAGTGATGACAAAAGACACATAATTGTAGAGGAAGCAAAGCAGATCTTGGTGGGTGACACTGTGGATACGGTAGAGGACCCCCATACATCTTCTGTGAAGCTGCTACCTCTGAATGACTGCTGATAGGCTTTGTACGAAAGCCACAGATGAAACAAGACTCTAAGAAAGAAGACCTAGTATTTATATTCTGGACTCTTAAAAGTGTACCTTTAAAAAGCAAGATGATTTATGCCAGCCCTGAAGATGCCATTAAAAAAAAATTTATAGGTATTAAATGTGAGTGGCAAGTAAATGGCTTGGATGACATAAAGGACCGTTCAAATCTTGGAGAGAAACTGAGAGGTGGTAGTTTCACTTGAAGGATAACCCTGATAAAGTGACATGACAGTTAAGTACACTCTGGACTGGAAGGAGTTCTCGTTTCTCCAGCTCAGTCAACTGGAACAGTATGAGGTTTTGGTTTTTGCCTCTCCTCTTCCCACTGGATCCTCCCAACACAATGAATGAAGAAGGTATCACTGAAGCAAGCAGCCTATCGATGATTGCCATTAGACTGTTTAATACTGTTACTTTGATGTAGAACCCAAGGGATGCCCTCCCATGATATTTTAGCCAAAGCAACTGGTAACATGCCTCCCTTGCAGCAAGCGCTACAATGAATGTGACTGTCAGCGTGAATAACTTAGCATACTGCAAAGGGTGAGCAATTGAAAGCCTTGTAAGTATTGTCCACCGGTCTGACGGTAAACTTTTTTCAGTGTCATTTGTAGTTGTACTTGACTGCAGGTCTGTGGGGCTCCTGCCTTGGCAAGCCAATTCTGGGGACATGGCAGCCTGGATATGACACTATGCATTAAATGCACTTTTTTTGTACTGAGTTGAACTGCTCAGCTGCCCAAAGAAATGCCAATTAAGTTACGTTAACTGTGTCACCATTTCATCCTCATACCTCAGTGTTCATTCCTGTGACCTGTATGTCTCCTTGAAAGAACTAGCTGTTATTAATGCCTTTTTGTCTTCCATGGAGTGTATGCTGCTGAGTAAGTGTGGGAGTTTTCTGTTTACCAAGTAAGTCTTGCAACACTAAAGATATTTTATCAGTCAGATGGCAATTTCTATATAACAGAGCCTGAAATGGAACATCTTTGAGATCAAACTCCACACCCTGACAAAATGGCCACACTATAATAAAAATTGGGACATATTATGGACAAAAAAATAAAAAGAAGGTATTATTAGTATGCTTTTCACAGATGTGAAATTGATGCTTAGAATAGTCACATAGCTAGTAAGTGATGAAGCTGAAAATTCAAACTCAAGCTGATCTATCAAAGTCAGTAAGTATTCTTTTCACTGCATAAGGTTTCTTTTTCTGGTAAGGCACAAAAGTCCTCTTCCCCTTAAAGATACTCCTCAGTAACTGTGCACTGACCATTCTATCTTCACGGCCTTCTTTCCAGGGCCAAAGGCCCGCATTTCTTGAGCTGGCGTCACAAAAGCTCTTGTGCGTGTGTGCGTGTGTGTGTGTGTGTGTGTGTGTGTGTATTTTCACTCTTCCTGGACCCTTAAGGCCTCTTTAATTTCCTTAAAGGACACATTAGTAGGAAAAGGTTAAGCTACCTTCTGGCTCTTGCCTGTCATGAATTGAAAGCTCCAATGTTGACTACAAAATGTGATTTTTAATGTTGGTCAAAAATTTTAGTGTTGATTTAGTACCAAATTCAATGCTGCTTTGAAATATGTATATGAACAATGTCATTTTTCCAAAGTAGCACTAAATTACTTAGTATATTATTAAGACATCTACTGAATTTAATTTGTCAAAAAATAAAATTTAAATGTTTTATTTTCACTTTTATGCATACTATAATCCTTAATTTATGCTGTTTTCTTTCTTTCACCAATTTTGTTTCAGTCTTCTCAGGTATAAGCAAAAATATCTGAGGGTCCAAACTAATGTACAAGTTACATTGGGTTTTAAAAAGGAGCAACAACAACAAAACCAATAAACAATAACAAAATCTGGAACAAATCAAAACAAAAAGCAGGCTTACTGATCATCGAGTCTCATGAAGAGGAACTCTGAGACAATTAGATTGTGTGGCACTGTGTGGCTTGGACACATTTTAAAACAAAGAAGAGGAGTGGAAAAAAGAAACAAGTGAACAGGCCCCCAGCAGCGGGTCCCTACTTGGGTTCAAGGAATTCACAAGTAAAGTATGCACACCTGTGCTCATACCCCCCAGTACCTGCAGCAGTGTTTTTTAGTGTCTCGAAACACACAACACGAACAGGCTTAGTCAACCATCCATTTCTTCATCCACGCATTCATTCATTCAACATTTATTATTAAATGTTTCTTGGGTTTTTTTTTTAAGTTGACATTTTAAAAAAAGATTGTATTTATTTGTTGTTAGAGAGAGGGGAAAGGAGGGAGAAAGAGGTAGAGAGAACCGCGGATGTGTGAAATCAGCATGTGCCCTGACCGGGGATCAAACCAGTGGCCTTCCGTTCACAGGCCAGCGCTCGCCCACTGTGCCACACCAGCCAGGGCCTGTGAAATGCTTGCTGGAGGCCAAGCACAGTGCCAGGCCCTGGGGATACACAAATAAATATAAGTGTGTGGACAGAGGGAAGTTTAAACAGCTGGAACCCCTAGAAAATTTAAATAGTTAGAAACCCAAAGAAAAAGAAGCGCTTGTATACATCAACTCACTTCTTTTGGCTAGTACTTCACATGTGGTTTACCTGTAGTGTGGAGGCGGGAGTTGCTGGATGACATCGTGAATTTTTATCAGCCTTTCTTCATCCGTTGCTGCTGAAACAGCATCCTGTAACAATCAGAATGCAAAATAAACCAGTGGATGTTGCTGGTAAAAATGAAATTCTTCCCTTACAACTTAGTTTTCATTCTGAGAGAAATCACTCTTATCTACGCTTGGATGCTGAACACCATGTAGCATCAAGGAAGTAAACACTTTTCCACGTTGACTGGACATTGACATCTATTAAAAGATAATTTTTAAAAAGCTTTATGGTAACCAACATTAAGTGCAATAAGAGTAGTGACTAAAAGTCAGAAACTAAAAGAGCGAAAATGTGAAATCAACAAAGAGTGCATTAGCGAGCAAGAGCAACCACTGCTTTTTGTTTCATTGTTTCCCTCAAAAAAGTCGCTCTAGTCATAGAACTATTTCTTACATGACCAAAGCAATTTTTATACATTTTGAACAAAACCACAACGAAACTCCAAACAGGACCAATTTGAAAGTGACTCGTACTCACTGAAAATTTCTCGTACAGCTGGTAGGTGAGCAGAGGGTTCGGGAGCTCGCGAAAATAGAGCTTACAGAGGGAGCCCACCGAGTGGATGTCCTGGACGTACGGTTCTTTTGTCAGGTCGGGGACATGTTCAGAGTCAAATTCATGGCTAGCAAAGATAGCAGAGAGAAAAATTTTATTAAAGCAAAAGCAAGAATATGACTTCAAAACAGAAAGCAAAGGCCCCAAGTGTTAACCTCTACCTCAGTGAATGAGTATTTTTTAAATAATTACATTTGGACTTCAGCAGTAATTGGATGTTTCATCGTAAGACAAGCACTTTTTTGTATGTGAAAATCAAGGGCAAAGCTTTAATATTAAAATGGATAGCAGTCTCTGAAATGCACACGAATGAGCAGCTCTTAATGCACAGATCTGAAAACAGGACTCATAATTCCTAATGGTCTGAATATCTGATATTTTGGCAATTCATAAAAATCAGGATTGAGTGGCAGCTGGCCCATGAAGAATCATGCATAAAAATCCCTCAGATACAAGAAGTATGGTTCAGGAACGGTTTATTAATGAGAGATAAGAAAGCCAGAAATAATATAAATCAATTCCCAGCTAACACCAAATTTTAGTAGATGGTAGTAAAATCTGTAGCATTAAAACAAATGAAATAAAAGTTGTGGTCAGAATGCTAAGGCAGATTAAGCTCACGCTGCAGGAGGCTAATTAATATTAATCTATAGGCATAAGACCTCTTAACCTAGAAGATCAGTGTATGTGGATTTATTAGTGAATATGAGATTTGCTGCATGTGAAGTAAAGACCAAAGGGTCTTTAGCACAAGAATCAATTTAAGTATTTTCCAATATGTATTCCCAAAAATAGAGATGAGCTCTGTGGTCAATGAGAATATTAAAACCCCTATAGAGTAAATGACAGTTCCCATTCACACAGAGAAAATTAAAGGAAAACCACACATTAAGAATAGACTAGAATCTAAGAGATTGAGCACAAATAAAATTTCTGTTGCTGGTATTAAGGACACCACTATTTTTGTCTGAGAGGATAATAAGAGAGAGAGGATGTAAAATATGTAACACGTGCACACATGAGCATCTACTATAAAACCAGTGCCAAAGGAGATTAGAAGACACTTCCCTCATCAGTTTTGATTAAGAGCTAAAGACTAATTCAGTTAAAACGTAAACTTTCATCTGTCATGGGATCAAACTCAGTTTGCTAAAATCTTCAAATGTAGTAATGAGACAAAATGCAGGTACTGAAGAGGGAACACAGTTTCTGATACTGTAAATGGGACTTAGGTAAATCTACACGGAGAACAAATATGGGTCTTATTTCCTAGTGTTTCTAAACTATCTTATTGAAAATTATGGTTATCAGTGTGAGAGTTTCCATTTTGAAATCATTTCATTTTAATGAATTACAACAGGATGAGAAAGAAAGTGCCAGGCGAGGTCGTACCGCAGCCTCTGGATGTTGGAGGCGACGCCCGAGAGACGATAGATCCCGTCCACGATGCCATATCTCTCGATGAACGCCGTGCAGCTCTGAAGGACCTGGGGTACTGAGGAGAATTTTTAAAGATGTGGATTAAACTGCAAGTATTCAGCTGAAACAAAGTCACCAAAACATACGAACGTCTTAGCTCCCATAAACAAAATAAAATGTGCAAATTACAGGTTAAGGGGTGGAGTTCGTCTACCACAAAAAACAATGAGGGCACATTTACTTAATTTCACATCAGCCAGGAAACTGCTTCCTGAAAAATCAACACTGGCTCCATCTTGTTAGGTTTAGGGAAGTGAAAGAGTCCGCACGTTATCAGGAGTGGTCTCTCTGAGGTCTGTGGCAGTGGACACTTAGATCACGTTGTAACAGCAAAGTGAACCAGTTAGTCCTAGCACCACACCAGATTGAAAAAATAATGGCTGTTCAGATTAATTTCATATATAGCAAATGGATATAAAGCTATATGCTTATTCCAACAAGGTAATTGCCTCTAAGTGTTGCAATTTTTTACTTTAAAAAAGTTTCTTTTATCTTTTCATAGTTAATGCTAATTCTAATTTTATCTGATAAACAAAACACCAACAGAATGTAAAGGTCAAAGGTCAGTAATTACATTGTAATTACTGACTTTTTGAGTTGATATTATCAGCTCATTATAAAGGGCACTCTAATAACTAGAAAGAAGGGTACTCTCTCTGGTTCCTTCACTGAATAATCTGACACAAATGGGCAGCTATTCAGGACTTACAGTCCAGTAAAGAACGTTCAAACTACATGATAAAAAAATGTTATAACCATTAAAAATGTACAATAGCTGAAATATTAACTTTGTTTTACAATACAGACCAAGAAATTCTTAGTAACTGTTCATGTGATAATGTTAGATAAAATCCCTGAAAAGAATTACGTGGACAAATATTATTTGGTCTGCAAAGAACTACTATACCAGGGATGAAACATACAGAGTATTTTAATAAGATAATTTTGGCTTACGTATCTCACTCACAGTATACAGCAAGCCCTCACTTAGCATTGTTAAGAAGTTCTGCAACCTTAAGTGAAATTACATATACTGAAACCAACTTTACTGATACAAACAAGAGTTAGGTTCCTATAGCGGCACCTCACTGACACTTGATGATGTTGAAAGAAACAAAATGATGTTGAAAGAAACTATGTCATTTTAGGACTTGCTGTATATATATCAGTCCTTATTATTACTACAGACTTTTCCTTGGTTTTCCTGCTTTTTGTTGTTCTTCCTATATTTTATTTTTTAAATTGTCAGATCCTATAACTTACATGTAAAATTTAAACTCCTTAGCTTTGAGTAATTTGTAAGCACTATGTTATTGAACATGTAACATGTACCAGGCTAAGTGCTTTATAATCAACACCCTCACTAGCTGTCACAGGAATTGTGGGACAAGTTCTATCTTTATCTCTGGTTTACAGAGGAAACTGAATCTTCTTTAATGCAGATGGAAAAGTCAAGTTTCATTTCCAGGGGGGTGGCTTCCTGGCCAGGGGTACCTTGGTGAAATGTTACCTATTAGAATGCGCATCATGGTTTTTTGGCTAAGAAAGTATGATTCCATAAAGGAGGTTATTTGGGCCTTGTCTTTTTCTAGTGAGCTCTGATTATAAAACTTCTGTTTAACTACTGTAAAACAATAATTTTAAAAAAGAAACCTCAAACACAGATATAAATTCAGGCTACTGAGTTTCCTCATCTTGAGTTTTCAAATATATTTTATATTTTGTATCAAACGTAATCTTACCTAGTTTTCTACAAAGTACTTGCTTTTTTTTTAAGCAATCTCATTTGAAATTTCATCTTCAGGAAATTCAGTTTAAAAAATGTGCAACAAATAAAATAAGTTCTATAAAAAATATTAAAAAACGATGATGTCTGAAAACCCTTTGTTCCACTGGGCTACATTTCACCATCGTCAAGGGAGGCATGAACACTGTAGTTATTAAATGTTTTTCTTCAGCTTGGCATCCACCCTCTCCTACCGAACTTACTAGTAATGGACCCACCAGGAACGGCTAAGATACAGCTGCGACTTGCTGAGCAGGTGTGTGGAAGCCCGTGTGCATGGCAAACCCTCCCTGGTGTTAACGATCACATCCAAGCAAGGTTGACACAAAGAAATACAAAAGGAAAAAGATATACAAAAAGCATCTGACTGCCCAAGAATGCCCCAGCAAATGACAAATGAGTCTGACCTATGCACAAAAATGTGCCATGTGTGAAGATTTTTTAAAAACTAAAACACTCGGTTCTGTACATAACTGATATGCCATAACCTTTAATCACCCCAGTGATAAGCACTGAAGTTTGGGGGAGCTGAAACTGTTAAGATCATCCAGTTTTTATGGCACCTGGGGTCATAAATAAAAGTTTTTAAAATGCTTCGTCAGGCTTCTCCATGAATTCTTACAACACTGTGGAAGAAACAGATCCGTCTTTGCTACAACAGGGCGGAGATGCAGAAATACAATTCAGAGAGTGAGTCACACAGCAAAACCTTATACTGATGTGGGCTTTCTTCTTGGAAAAATCTAGTGTGAAATCTATTTTATATATTTATATATTGGTATTTTAAAGCCCCAACTGAAACAGGGTAATCATAAGGAAGAATGATTATACACATTATGTATCTATCCATATTTATATCTCTTCTCACAATCGTATATGTAATACTGAGATATAATTTTTCCTCCTCAGGATTATTCTAACTGTTCCCACTTAGACTTTAAAATATTATATATAATATATAATCAATTTTGCTTGTTTTAATTTAGACTTTAAAATAGTCTCTCTCTATACACACACGGTATGACTGCAGTTATAGACTATATACAGTATATATAAAGTATCACAATCTTAAAAAACTTCAATTTCTCACACATTTATTAAATCAAAGACAAATGAATAAATCAATTTAATATTGAAAACCATTTTCTTTCCTAATTAAAATTTTATTTGATAAACTTCAAAGGTTTCACTTTTTGTGTTAATTTAGTCTTTATTTGAATATTCAAATGTATTTCTCACATGAATACGTATTCATTTTTCACCATCTCCAATCAAAGAGGAATTTATTTTAATATGCTAACTAGAATGTATCTGACCTCAGTCTTCAAAGTTTTTCAAATTACAATTATACTCTAATGTCACAAATAACTTTTTTTTCTTTTTTTGTTTTTCTAATTACTTGAATAGACTCTCCTCTGGATCAGCCTTTAGCCGAGAACACCCTTCCAAGACTATAAATTCATTTCTAATATTTTCCTACTATTTTTTCTTCTTTTTAGCTAAAAAAGCAGGAAAACTAAGAAAATCACAAAGTCTCTACATATCATGCTCTACCATAATTATATTTGTTTTACATATCACCTAAGTATCCATACTTTTAAAAGGTAAGTTTAGTCCTGGCTGGGGTAGTTCAGTGGATTGAGCATGGGCTGCAAACCAAAGGGTTGCAGGTTCGATTCCCAGTCAGGGCACATGCCTGCGTTGCGGGCCAGATCCTCAGTGGGGGCCATGCAAGAGGCAAGCACACATTGGTGTTTCTTTCTCCTTCTTTTTCCCTCCCTTCCCATCTCCAAAAATAAATAAAATCTTTTTTTTTAAGTTTTAAAAATATAAAAAGGTAAGTTTCGTTTATTAAAACATTTTTCAAATTTCTACACTGTTGAAATTTACAATTTTAACAGCTTTATAATTTAAAGATTACCCTAAAAGTGAATATTCAGTTTTTTTGCTTTGATACACAATACTATTACAAACATTTTTGTTTCTATTGAAATATGACCTTAGGATAAATCCCTAAGAGGAATTGCTAAATTAACACTGTAAAGTCTCTTGCTATGAAGGACCAAATGTTTCTCAAAAAGTTAATAATTCATAGAACTACCTGAAATCAATTTTTATCTATTGATAAAGCTGTTTTTCAATGGGATCGGGTATTGGGAAGATTGATCACAAAGATCTCATTTAAAATGAAGTCAGGAGGCTAGAAGAGAGAATTCCCACGCTCCTGTCACTGAACACACACTGCTGACCCGACAGGAAGAAACACACCTTGCACCTCCAACAGAAAGAGATTCTTTCATCACAGGAAGTGATACATTACTACCTCAGCAGGAGCAAATGCTAAGTCGCTATGCTTCACACTTTTAGTTTCCTCCAATGGACGCTAGGTTTACAAAAGCCCCTCTCAAGTCCATAAAAAAAAGGCATTCTTTTCTTTTGTCCAGAATTGCAGTTCTTTGTTGTTTCTGAATAAACCCATAGTGCTGGAGAAATATGTAGCTATCTACTTGATTATGGTTAATATTATCATAATTTATAAATGCAGCTTTATTATATTAATAATGTTTCCCATTATAAAATGGTGTCTCAAAACTACTTAAAGATGCATTTCCATGATTACAACAAATAAGCCTCAACACTTCACTGTAATTTGTTTACTCTCTAGCTCCTTGTGAAAATTATGTTTTTATTTTTTTCAGTCTTCTACTTAGGGACTTAATTTTCTCACAAATCTGAATGATATTCTCCTACAATATATTAGAAGCATTTTATCATATCCAAAAAAGGATTATTTTTCCTGTCATACCTTTCCATCTGTTATTTTCATTACATAAAAATTATATATTTGAAACCAACTTTTCCTTTCTATTTTTTAATATGAGAAAGCTATCATTCCTCTTTGATCTCAAAACAAAATCGTAACATATTAGCATTTCTATGAGCTTAAAACAGTTAAAGCTCATTTATATATCTGGAATTTTCAGTGTGATAAAGTAAGAATTTTTTTTTCAAAATTCCTGTTTATCTCAAAATGTATTTAATGAGTAACCCTTCCCCTTCATAATCTGTTTTTAAAACCACATTTTATAAAGGTGAATTCTTATGTATAATTAAAGGTTACTTCTGAACATCTCAAGCTATTTTATTCAGGCCTCATTCTCGACACTAACAACATTCTGGTTCTTAGTAATGTTTTCAGTATCTGGTAAAGCTGTATGTCTCATATCCTGTCACTGACTTTCCCACCTACTATGCTCTTTGATATTTTCATTGGCTTATTTTTCCATGTGTATTAACTAGTTGCAAAATAATCCTCACAGTTTTCTGCCCCCCCCCCCTTTGGTAACTGTAGTAAGTTCTCATTATTTGGGGAATAACACTTTTTATTGTTTTCTCTCAAGAAACATAGTAAAGTTTGCATTAAATTCATATTATAAGTACACTGGTATTCTTTAAGCAATGTGTAGAGCCTTAATTTGAACTTGATATTTATCAGTATTTACACTAGTTTTCATCAGTAGCCTTAAAAAGTACAATGGATATTTCCCATCAGGATCTAGAATTTTACAAATCATTTATTTCTGGTACTTATCAACATGATAGGTACTTTGGATACTTCTTTAAGATTCTAGCTAGCATCTCTACAAGAACTGGTAGAGGAAAGAGCTTTTTAAAAAAAAAATCAAAGGAAAACCCCATTTTTGCTTTCTTCCTATCCATTCATTCCTCTCCATCCACTCATTCAACCACTGAATTCTTGAGTCAGAATTTGATTTTTAAATCAGAATTTGATTTTTAAAGAAAGAAATTAAAAATTTTGGCTATAATACTTGGGAGACTGGCCTTGGTATTTTATAGCCTCAAAACTATGACTATATTTTTCAATTAAGAGAAGTAAAATGTTTTAGAATAAAATGTGAGAGGAGAAAGCTGGCTGAGAAAGCTATCGGGACCAATATAAAAATAATAATGCAAACTGACAGTGCTACTGTCCCCTCTATGTGAATGACGTACTCTTCCTAAACAGACCAGAAGTCTCTCTGAGGCCAGAGTGTATTCTCAGACCCGTCTTTATTCTCAGCTGTCCCCAGAACTCAGAGACGTACCTGAGAATGCTCAGTGCATGCTGCTGAACTTAAGTGAAACAGGTAGTATTTGCCTAATCTGAGCCATAACTGGCTATAACAAATCAAAGTGAAGAGGTTAGAAACTGAAATTATAGGATTATAAATTTTAAATTTCATTTTTACCTTCAAAACCAGAATTCAGAAGGTGTTCCCCCAGGTCACAACCAAACACCCTCTCTTTCAGGATCCCCCGCTGCTTCAGCTTCTGTTTTGTCGGACGAGACTTCATGAATGTGCGTAAGAAAGTGATGAGCTTGCCGTGCTTTTTAGACACTAAAGAAGAGCAATAAAGAGAAAAATATCTTAGTTGTTACATTTTTAGTTACGGTGAAAAGAAACAGAGATTTCAAGAGGCTGACTGCAAAATAACCTATTAAATATACACTTTATATTCTGTAGGAAATGTTCAGCAGCAGTTTAGGAAACAGTTACTTTTAAATAACATCACGATTTTGCACTTTCTTTCACGAGTACGTGATCTTACCTGATTGGGAGTGTAAGCAAATTTAAGCACCATAACCGTGACTTATAGATCCAGCTTGGTAAACCAGCCATTTTCTCAACACATGCCTATGGAGGCTACAGGATTATGACTGACACCTGAGTTTAATCTATTAGTTTGGAGATGTTCATAATAAGTAAGACTTACAATGGTGTAAATGTGGTTTTTTCTAAAATACTTATTTGGTGGTTATAAATTTTCATGGCATTTATACTCTGGAAAGCAAAACAAACAAAAAACTCAACTTCCTCTTTTCATTTTATTAAGAGGACAATTCCATTACAATATAGAACACACTTGTCCAACTAATTGCTATGTAACTACAAAACACACACATAAAAATACCATTAGATATTTATCATGATTCATCTAGAGTATACTAAATATCAATTTATAACAAATCCTTTGTAGATCAAGGAAAGAGATAAATAAATTAATACAGAATAAAATATTTCTACAGATTGATATATTAGAAAGATAATAGTGAAAGAATTGAATGCAAACAAATCCCTAAGTGAAGCTTACAGGGTAAATTACCCTAAATTTCAACATACAACAATCATAAGCTCAGAGATTAGTTGCTGGACAGAAGGCTAAGCCACATGGCCTCAATCCTCCTGCTCGGTCTGCAGATGATTACCGGGAGTCTTACTGCATCCTACTAAGTGAACTCAAATCTCAGATCCCTTGAACCGATGAAGCCTTGCATAAAAATTACTGCCAAGAGTAACCTGTGGCCTATATGGACCAGATCAGACCAGACGAAATATTTGCCATCAATTTCTCTTCATTTTATGTGAAACACTCTTTGGAGATACACTGTATTTTTTTTTTGAACCATAAGATGCACCTAGGTTTTAGAGGAGGGAAATAGGAAAAAATTTCTGAAGCAAAAAATGTGGTAAAATATTTAATAATATAAATATCATATTTCATCAATGTAAATGTAAGCAGAACTCAACAGCAGCATTAACAACCACTATTCCTCCCAAATTGTGGTGTGTGCATACAGGATACGTCTTACAGTCTGAAAAATATGGTGAGCATCGTTTTTATGAACTGTACGGGGGTAAGTGACTAAAACTGGTTTGCCCATAACTGACAGATTTCCTGAGACTTGAGACTTTAAGTGCTAAAACCAAGAAAGCCCTGGGCAGAGTGGGAAAAGGTAGTCATCCTAGACTATATACAGATTAAGTGGGAAATTTATTTTTTGTATATCAATTATTAAAGTATAATTACAGTCATCAGTATAATTTTGATGCTATCTCTGACAAGCTCTGAAATTCTGGGTAAACTACAACCTTCCTGGTAGCAGAGGCTCACTGCTATAAAATTAAATGGTATGCTCACTTATCTGCCACTGAGAGACACAGTGTCTTGGGTAACTGCAGAAGGTACATCCCACATAGCATGTTATTATACTAACGGTTACTGGACTTGCATGAGTTTTATTCTCCCCTAGTTGTTTAGCAGATTGTGTGCTGGGAATCTTTGTTGAAAAGTGGCCATTAGCTGGAAAAAGCATAAAGGACACATGGACAATAACGACGGGGGGTGAAAATGGGAGGGGGGGAAGGGTTAGGATGGGGGTAAAAGGCAGAAACTGTACTTGAACAATTAAAATAAAAAATAAATACATTAATTAAAAATAAAATAAATAAAAATTAGAAAAGAAAGTGGCCATCGAACTATTTCTGTTCATTCTCACTTTCTACATAAACTTTAAAATAATTTTGACAAGATTTACAAAACATGCAAATGAGTTTATAAGTATATATTTGGAAATTTTTAAATTTGTACAATATTTCCACCTGGAACCATAACAGGTCATCATTTTTCTAAACCTTTCATACGTCTCAGTCAAGTTTTCTAATTTTCTTTACAAACATATATGTTGCATATATGTCTCAATAGGGATATTACTAGGCATCTTACATCTTTTGGTTACTCTTGTAGAATAATACTTTTTTCTAATTATGGCCTTAACTTGTAATTACTGGTGTGCTAGAAAATAATTTTATGCACAGCTCTAATCTCATCATTTACTAAACTTTCAGCAGTTTCAGAAAGGTTTTATCTGATCCTTTTAGATTTCATGGATATATAATTGGGTCAAAGCATATATGGGACAAGCTATTTCTGACAAGTAATTTCTTGTCTTCTTCATTTAAAAAAATGTCACCTAATACTTTAGTTTTTATATTAAAAAATTTTTATTTACTTTTAGACGGAGAGGAAGGGAGGGAGAAAGCCAGGGAGAAAAATATCAATGTGTGGTTGCCTCTCTCATGCCCCCTACTGGGACCTGGCCCACAACCCGGACATGTGCCCTGACTGGGAATCACACTATTGACCCTTTGGTTTGCAGGCTGGCACTCAATCCACTGAACCACACCAACCAGGTCTCAGAAATAATTTCTGATTTCTTTTTCGAATTATAATAATTGGCCAGAATTTCCAAGATCCATGTTAATGATAGGCATTCACATTTAGATGCCAAATTTGATTAAAATATCTGCTGATTTTGACATTGTATAAGGTGTATATGAGAAAGCATTCTCTTAGTCTCAGATTTCCAAGAATGTTGCAGAGGAATGGAAATTGTGATTTTAACTGTTATCATTTAGCAAAAGTACGCAGGTGCCATTATATCAGAAACCACTCTAATGCGTGTGATTACAGTGGGGAACAAGTGAGACAACTGCCTCGCTGCCACAGAGCTTACTGAGGGGAGAAGGACAACAAACGATTAAATAATAGGAAAATACCCAGCATTTATTTTATACTTACTAAGAGCTGGCAACTGCACAAGTGTTTATATATATTAATTATTCATTTCTCACAGACCCCTATAGGGAAAACACTGTTACCATCCCCAGATTTTGATGAAGAAACAGCCACTGAGTGCTAACATGTCCAAGGTCACATAACTAGGACTCAAAATCAGGTGGTCTGGCTCAAATCCCAAGCTCTTAGCCACGATATGATATTGCACCAGTTTAGACAACAAGGTAACATCAGGCTGCTTTTACCTGCTAGTAAGGAAATAGTCAAGTAATAGTACAAGGAAAAGAAACTACATCGAACAGGGTGGTCAGGAAGATCTGAGGAAGTCACACCTGAACTGGAAAGTGTGAGTGCAGTTATTAGCAAAAAGGCAGTAGTATGAAATGAGGTTGAAGAGGTATACAAAAGCCAGGGGCTAGAGTTCAGAGTATAGTTTGGATTTTATGCAGTGAGAACACAGTGAATAGTGTAAACATTTTTGAAAGGTTACTTTAAAAATAAAGCAATATGTGTATCAGAAACCAAATGTGCACTAATAAAGAACTGGCTGAATAAACTAATACATCTGGCACAGAGGATATTACTGTTTGACTTAAAAAGAAGCAGTTTTTCTACCTACCAATGTGAAGTAATCTCCAGAATAACTCAGTCAAAAAAGAAGGTAATATAAACTGAGTTGGAAATGTGAACATGAACTCAACACTGAAATACGGTCACACCCACGACAAACCACACATACGACCGTGGTCCCACAAGAAGAACCCCGAAGAAAATTCATAGTGAAGGGGTCCGCAGAAACTTTTGTAGATCTCAACAAGCTCCTTAAAGAGTCTAAAAACTTGGCCCCAAACACCAAAAGGTTTCTATTACTAGAGAGGAATGTTCAGGTGCATTACCTGCTTATAAGCCAATCTATAATGAAAACAAACAAACAAAAAACAAACAAGCAAACCACTGGTCACATTTCTTAAGAGTGACACCTCCTCAAGAAGAGCCTCAGGCAGGTCTTCAAGGTGTTCCAGAAAGTGGCACTGTTGTCATAGATGACAGCTCCATGCATGCCACTGCCCTCGAAGACCTTCCAGTGGGACAAGATGCGCATGTGAAGACAACGACATTCATGATCCTGACACTGCCTACACCTAGGATGATGTGTGTGTTTGTCGTCATTCTAATGACAATGTTTGAGAAGAAATAAATACTTAAAAGTAGGAAAAAAGCTTATGGAATAAGGATTTAAACATATTTTTGTACAGCTGTACAATGTTTGTATTTTAGGCTATTACAAAAAAGTCAAAAAGTTACAAAAATTAAAAAGTGTATAGGTGACTCCAAGATGGTGAAAGCAGGTGGTAGTTACACTCACCGCCTCCCAGGACCATAGCAAAATTACAATTAAATTATAAAACAATCAACCTGGATAACCATCTGAAGACTAAGTGAATAGAAGGCTTTATAACTAAGCCTATTTAGAAGAAGCCACGTTGAGACTGGTAGGGGGCTCAGAAGCGAAAAGGGCAGGACCTGCACGCGCACGTGGCAGTTGAGACTGCAGGGACATGTCAGCTGCTGATGTCTGCCCTGAGGAGCCAGGGTCTCAACCTCACGCTGGGCTCCTCAGCTGGAAGCATCAGTCCTGGGAAGAGGAGCCCACATGACCTCTGGCGTGAAGATCAGTGGGGGTTCCACCCACCTAGGTGAGAGGGGACACTGCTGGACACCTAGGTGCCCTATTAAAGGCTGGCATGCAAACTCACGCTTGGCAGCACTCACCAAGGGCTCCAGCTTTCTGTGTGACTTGGAGCCATAGAGAAAGAGATCATGTATGTGGCTTCAGGGAGAAGCTGGAGGAATAGCCGCCAATGTCCCCGTGCTGAGTCCCTATTCCACACGGCCCACAGATGCCATCTTTCCTGGGTTGGGAACTCCCTGCTGTACCACATCAGCCTGTGGACAGGCACTAGCCCCACCTTCCCAGCTC